CAAATCTATTGTAATGAAATGAGTATAGTTCTGGTCCAGCAATAAACAATAGGTCAGTACAACAGAAGAGAGAATCCATATGCAAATCCACATATATGTGTGACTTGACGTAAAATGAAGGTCACATTACAAGTTATTGGAAAAGGATGACATTTTCAATAAATGCTGAAACAAATAGCTATCTACTTGGAAGAAATAAAATCAGAAACTATATCATACCATATAGAAAAATATAATCCATATGGTTGGGAGATTTAAATATTGATATAAAATATAAATTATATATATATATTATAAGAAAATATATAAAATCTTAGGGGTAGAATAGGTTTCTGGAAACTGGAAAGTTATAAGTAAAATAATACTCAGAAACTATAAAAATAATATATTGCTTGAATTCTTTAAACTTTCATATGGAAGAGATACTATAAAGTCAAAAGAAAAGCAATAATCTAGAAGAAGATATTTGCAGTAGTTGGACCAGAGAAAAGGGTAAATGTATTGAATAGTCAAGGATCTCTGACTGAAAATTGACCAATATTCTAGATAGGCAGTTCGCAGGGATACTGGTCACGTGAAAACTATGCAGCCGCATCAGTACTGAAATAACATTTCTCATCATCTGATAATAGCCAATAAGTAAAATTATTGATAACAGTGAGTGCTAGTAAAAGTGCAGAGAAATACACACTCATATTCTGTTTATAGTACCATAAATTGTAAGTTTTGGGAACATAAAATGCATACCCTTTAACTCCACGCTTCCACTTCTGGGAGTTTATCCAGTCAAAATGAAAGTATCAATATGTAAAGATAAGTTCAAGAATACTACTGCTGCATATTTTATAAGAACAAGACAAAAAATTAAGCAAACAAAACTGGAAACAACCCGAGTGCCATAACAGGAGAATTGTTGAATAAAATATGGTATAACCATATATGGAATACTCTGCAAATACAGGTCCACAATTTCTTATCTGAAACTCTTGGGGCCAGATATGGTTTCATAACTCAGATATTTTCAGACTTAAATATATACTTGTATTAAATAATATATCATAATAATATGAAAATAATGTGTCTAACATAACGTATAATAATATTTTTAAATAATATATGCTGTATATTATGTAATATATACTGTATACTATGTAGCAAGGCTTGGAGAGCATCTTGTAATCAAATATATAAATGTTTCTGTAGCAAAACATGACTTTTCACCCTAAGTAGAATAAATAAAACTATGAAGGGCTTCCCTGGTGGCGCAGTGGTTAAGAATCTGCCTGCCAATGCAGGGGACACAGGTTCGAGCCCTCGTCCAGGAAGATCCCACATGCCGTGGAGCAACTAAGCCAATGAGCCACAACTACTGAGCCTGCGCTCTAGAGCCCGCGTGCCACAACTACTGAGCCCACACGCTGCAACTACTGCAGCCCACGTGCCTAGAGCCCGTGCTCCACAACAAGAGAAGCCACTGCTCGCCACAACTAGAGAAAGCCCGCACACAGCAACAAAGACCCAACGCAGCAAAAATAAATAAAATAAATAAATTTATTTTTAAAAATAAAATTAAAAAACTATGAAGAGGACTTCCAGGTCAGATTTTATCACTAAATGAATTACAAAACAACAAAACAAAGCAATGGATTTCGAATGGAGGTAGGGATTGTGGACCTCATAGGTAGACCTATGTATGTTGATTTGGAAATATGTCCACAATACATGGTTAAATGCAAAAGTGACTCTTAGAATGACACATGGAGTATTGAGCTCTTTATTGTAAGAACAAAACCAAAGTCCTAACGTATGTGGATATACGTCTGCATAAGTGAAGGGAGAAATAATGGAGGAGCTGTATGAATCAGGGTGGTTATATGGCAGGGAAAGGAGAGATTCAAACACATGTTTGTATTCTGTGATTTATTATAATAAGCTGGCTTTACTTTCATAATGCAAATATTAAAACATTTTAAGAGGAGGAGAAATGAAAGAAAACCAAATAAAAACCATATTTGAAGATTCCAGAATTCCCTCCCAGCGGTGATGCTGTGCTTGGAACTGTTCAGGTGTGGGGTGCAGAAATGACTCAGACGTCCACCTACTTTCACATACCTCACAGTGGAAAACAGGACTGTGAATTTACTTGTTTGTTAGTATTAGAAATGAGGCAATAGAGGATGCAGGAGTGGACTGGCCCTAGCTGGAGAGGGGATTGGAGCCACGCCTTGGCAAGACAGTACTGCTAAGAGTAAATGCTTATACGAAATTCCCTACTTCATGTGTGTCAGTATGCTCTAACCATTTCATATGTATTAACTCCCTGACTCCTCCCAACAGCCCTCTGAGATGGATGTTTTGTTATCATCATCCCCATTTTACAGATGAGAAAACCAAGGCTCAGGGAGATTATTTGCCCAAGGTCACACAGCTGGTCACAACAAAGCTGAGACCCAAACCAAGGCAGCCTGTCTCAGAGTCTGTACACCCAACTACTGCACCGCACTGCCTCTCTGCAGATAGGACCATGGATGGCTGAATGGGAGGGATGCTCATCCCAGCCCCAGAGGCTGGAGCAGACTGGATATGTTCTAGAGATGCTACCTGGGTGGGGACACTGTGTGTCTGGCCAGAAAGGGTTCCCAGCAAAGGCCTGGCTGGGTGACTTAAGCTTCATCCACAAGCAGCTGAAGGGTACTACAGATCATCACTGAGTACCTCCTGCTGCATCTCACCCGGGGGCACTGGACAGAGCGCCTGGCAGAGCAGCTTAGTCACACATCGGTGCTGGCTGTTGAGCCTGAGATTTGGGATTTGCATGTGACACCGCTGGTGCTTTTTCCGTCCACCGTGGCTGATCACATCAGGCACGCCTCTCCCATGAACCTCTCAGCAGGCCTCTTTGCACCTGCTCTACTGAGGGTCTGTCCATCTCTTGGAGGTGCCCTCCGGGCTCTCCCAATGTCCCAATTTTGTGTATGCCACCCACTTATGTATTTAAGCCCCACCATCCCAAACACAGCTCTCAGATTTGGTGAAAATCCAACCATTTTCACAGGATGATGTGATGACAAACAGAAAGAAATGTGATTGCATTGATATCAGGTATTCAAGGGTCTCAGAGCTGGTTTTATTTTATTTTATGTGTTTTTAAAATTCTGTAGTGCTTTACAGTTTTCAAAAGTTTCACACACATGATTTCCTATAATCCCATAATAACCCTTTTTTTTAATCCCCTACCCCTTCCCTCTCCCCGCTGGTGACCACTAGTTTATTCTCTACATCTGTGAGTTGGCTGCTTTTTTGTTTTATTCATTAGCTTGTTGTATTTTTTAGGTCCCACATATTAGTGATATCGTAACGTTTTGTCTTTCTCTGTCTGACTTACTTCATTTAGCATAATGCCCTCCAAGTCCACCCATGTTGCTGAAAATGGCAAAATTTCATTCTTTTTTATGGCTGAGTACTATCCCATTGTATATCTACACCCATTGTACCTCTTCTCTATCCATTCATCCATTGATGGACAGAGCTGGTTTTATTTTATGTTCCGAATTCCCCAGAGAGCCAGTACTCACTATTTTGGATTTTCCTCCTTCTCACCTCTCACCCTCTTTCTGTCACTTTCTTTCTTTTCCCCTTTATCCCCACATCTCCTTGTCTCCTTCCTTTTCTGTCCCTCTTCCTTCCCTCTCAGGGTTCTTCAACACCCACGTCCCATCTGCTGTCGTTACTTTAGGCTGGATGGAAGGTGGTCTCAACCCCCAAGCCCCCTCCCGGTTTTATTTTATGTTCCGAATTCCCCAGAGAGCCAGTACTCACTATTTTGGATTTTCCTCCTTCTCACCTCTCACCCTCTTTCTGTCACTTTCTTTCTTTTCCCCTTTATCCCCACATCTCCTTGTCTCCTTCCTTTTCTGTCCCTCTTCCTTCCCTCTCAGGGTTCTTCAACACCCACGTCCCATCTGCTGTCGTTACTTTAGGCTGGATGGAAGGTGGTCTCAACCCCCAAGCCCCCTCCC